TATAACTAGCTAGGAAAACCTTTTGATTTTATTTGATTTTTTACTACCTAAATCTAAAAACTACACTTATATAGAAATAAAACTATGTAAATCACTGATAGACTATTTCTTGATGATAAATGTTTGGTTTATAAATCCTTACTCTTTTGACCCCATTCAAATTATAAAGCAATTCAAATGGTATTGAGAAAATTATAGTGTGTAATATATTTATGCTAATAGCTGTGTAAGTTTTGTACAAGACTGAACTATTTGAGTTGTATTTTCCTGTAGAACATGTTTTAATGTATGGATTGAAATATAATGACATGTAAGAAAAAAAGTTATCGGGGGTTAATACACAAATAAAAAAAATAATATGCATCAAAGCTAAAACAATATAGGAGTTATATAAAATACATAATTTATAAATATGAAATATCATACGATATAACTATTATAATAAAAAATTAATTATAGTAAAATAGGTTGAAATAAAAATATTTTATCAAATATTAAAAAGCAGTCAACCTACAGGTGTAGGTACAAGTTTTTTAAATAAAATGTAACATAATAAATTATCAAGGTTGATAGTGTAACGTGTCTGCTTGGCTAGTTGGCTAGGCTAGGCCGAAACGACAGTCGATAGGGTTAAATTAGTGGACCCGAAGACGGGACGGATGGCTAGGCCGTATCTACACTTAAATATCCCTAAAGTCTCCTTTGTATATTTGCTATATCGCCTGAGGAGCTTAACAGGCGATCGTACCTCTAAATAACTTAACTCTCAAGTGTGCAACGAAACGAAAACAGGTTTATTAAATAAGTAAAGCTATGTACATATATATTACACCTCTACCTGGATCCTAAAGCGTTCTCTGTAGTTAGTCCAGGTAATGGCGGAGTTGAACGGACACACGAGTACGGGTAAAGTTAAAAGAAATATAAAATAGTAATGTAACGTGAAATAATAGGTAATAATAATGATAGGCTTTAGAATAATTAGGTCGCGGTCCGAAGATGGTAGTATGTCAACTAACTGGGCATCGGTGCCCCTGGCATTGTCCCGTGTGTCTGTTGTCTCCCCTACCTATAATGGCTTACATGCTAATCGGGGTAAACTGCTAATAATGCATATTTGGAGGCGAGTGGTAACGGGCGGCTAAATGTGACCGTTACAGCTGCTCCTCCCCTAATGAGGTCTGACCTCAGACCTAAGTTATACAAATAAAAATAGGTACTAAGAAAAATAAATAAGATATGTACAAATACCCTGAAAATAAAGGTTCCTATAGGTTGGTTTAAATTAATTATGATTTAAAGGAGGGCCACCTGTACTCTTATTTTGACCTTTGGTTAATTTCGACGATCATCCATCCCTTATCTTGTCGTTTTTATTGAAAATTTGAAAGGCCATCGCTCGACGAAAACATCCAACCTAGCTTCTCGCCTTTCTTGAAAAAACTAGTAGGTCAACCCTCTATAAAATGAATAGTGGTGTTCTCAAGGTCTTAATAAGCTACTAGTGGTTGTCATATTCTATTCCACATAAAAAGGTAGTATGGGAAAAGCATGGGCTACATTGTATTGTTATTGTTTAAAATATTAAGTTGGCTAAGCTACGCATACAAGAAAACTCAAAACAACTATAAAAGAAAAATTCATTGTCTGTTTATCTCACAATATATATGTGTAATTACGTTAATCCTAATGATAATGATGAAAAACGTTGCTAAAAATCATTTATCATATACATTCATTATCTTAAGTTAAGTTGATACCTCTGCGTGCTTAAAAAAAAACTACTTCATTTAAATTATACAAAATAAAATAATAATAATCGTAAAATAAAATAAATTTCATTAAGTGTTTATAAAAGAAACAGAAAAGAAGACTAACAGAGAAACGCTTAGTAGTCGAAAAAATATCGGACCCAGGGTAATTTACGCGACGATAAAAAAAAAACAATAATACCCTTGACCTTAAAAAAAAAAAAAAAAATTGAAGTCGCTTATCTTGCGCGTTAAGTTTAGTCAGTAGGTCAAGTTATATTTATTTTTTTTTAAAAATATTTATACATAATAAATGAAAATGTCTTGTGTTAGTAAATTTGTCGTGAAAACGACAGTTTTAATTACAATAGTTTTGAATTATTTGTTGATCTGTGTACCATTTGGGTGCCTGCAACTCATTTAGTTATTAAAACATGTGCCGTAAAACAATAAAATATATGTATACATTTAAATAAGGTATGTTTATGAAATATCAAATTGCATTATTTATTATTCTTAATATAAATGTTATTTTTAAAAGTATATCCTTTAGATTTTATTATTATAAAATGAGTAATCATTATTTATATAAGTTCTATCACAAAAAAAAAAAATTCAATATTGCTTCATACGTTAATATTATATTAAATAAATATTCGCTAAAATTACCACGATGGATAATTATTATTTATTTTCTTTTTATATAATAGAATATAACACCAACCTACTTAAAACGGGGTACAGATAATTTGCTGAATATCATATTCATTTCAATTCAACGCGAGATAGATAAAGTAAAATTATGTAGTAAATAAGTTTAAAAATGTTGCCCTAAAATGTCATTATAAACGCGATAAAGTAAAAACACAAATTTAATATTATACAAATCAATCAAACATGAAAAAACTTCCGTTATCAAATGATAAATATATCCACTTCATAGGTGGTGTAAAAATAACAAAAATGTCGTATTATATATGTAAATTCGTGACAAAATTGGTAAGTGCCGTTATTAGTACGAGATGCCGTTTTTAATAAATACATCGGTAATTCATTCCGTGATATTCGGAGACAAAAGCCGTAAAAAATTATATAAATCGCCGATTTAATTGTGCCGGTAAAAATAATAAAACAAAAATCCACTGCAAATTTCAGGGATAAAAATGTGCCGTAAATTAATAAATCATCGGTGATCAGCCGGAATAAAATATAACCCACATGTGCAGATGACCGCGCACGAAACTCGAATTAACAATGTTCACCTAAAAATCAGTTCGGTCGAATAAAATAGAGGTTAGCTACGCCTTTCTTTAAACTATCTACACGCCCGATTTTTAAATTTAAAAGTTAAGTGTCAAGTTTTGTGGAAAAATTTGAGGTCCCTTGACCTTAAACAATTCGAATGTTCGGGTGACTACAATTGGCAAACGTGCGATGAAAAAAAAAAAAATCATGGCACGGCATTCATCAACATAAAACAAACGACAAGCCGGTAACACTGCTTGGCGGCAACATGGCCTCACTGTTGGATGGCAACATGGCAACACTGCAGGACGGCAGAACGGCAAATAATGGCAACTAATGGCCAAACGGCAACATGGTAACACTGCAGGACGGCAACATGGCATCACTGCAGGACGGCAAAACGGCAAATAAAGGCAACTAATGGCCAAACGGCGGCAATAAATGCTGACTGATAATAGCGGTAAAAATAGCAGAATAATGGCGATGTTAAAAAATATAATTATAACCTAAATCGCATCATATACAGTGTGTAAATGAAATTTGATTTAAATATCTCAAAAAAAATAATTTGAGCCTCACATTAAAACTTTACGTTTGGCCAGCGTATTTATCAGCTTCAGGAAAGCGGCAATCGCTACTTATAGACACCCGGGCCCTGGGTGCTACAAGTCCATCCGTGAGAGAGATACGCTTCGTGTCCAGTTTAACAAAGGTCTAATAAAAAAAACAAAGATTTTCCACACCTAAACCTCTAGTACTCTACGTCTACTTAACGAGCGATTAATCCTTGTATTCGATTAAACAATTTATTTAAATATTACTACCGATTAAAATTGATTGAATATTACTAACGTATATAATTTTATACCCTCATAAAAAAAACTTAAAATTACTCATACTATTTATTTTTTAAATTTATTTATATTTTCTAGTCCTTTAACTTTTCATATCAAAATTATCGTTCTAATGAATCGACCTATCCTGTAACTACCACGTGAAGCAAGAAAATCTATCTACTTTTGGTCATTATATTGCTTCATCTCGTCAAGTCGGAGCTGGTGCCATGTACTACGACCGCTCCCGACTCGCGGAAAAATAGGAGCACCTACCTAAATATGAAATATTTTTGGGCTTAAATACGTTCCTAAAATATTTCGTTATTCCTAGAAATCTAACAGCGTTTATAACTTATACGCGGATACTTCTTCATCTTAAATTACATACCAATAGAATAGTGTTAAATAACAATAATCTAGTGAAAAATGAACTAAACAATAGCATACCGGCAAATATAATCGTAATTAATAATAAAATATTTTAATAATATGTTTGTGTTAAGCAAAAACTATTTTCTACAATTGTATACCTTGTTTATATAAAAAAAAATTCTAAATTGTTGTACCAATGGCACAGATCAACAATATACACTTATATGATACGTTTAATTCGTAATAATAATGTATATGTATAAATACACACACACACACTTAGATATACATATAATATATGTACATAAAAAAAAACAAATATATGTTCGAGTAATCTAATACCTACGCGTCGGTAAACGGGAAGATTTTGCTGACGCTGTTATTATAATGTCTGGTACATTGGAGTTCATTTAAAATGGACATTGCGATTTATAATTCTGTTAAAAATATTTAGTATTATTATTCAAACAAGTGAAATATTTACTTAAATCTCTTTAAGTTCCCTGACCATATCAGCGTGATAAAAAAGATTATGATGATTGTAAATTGTAATAATTTAATTATTTTAACTCAAAAGAATAGTCTAGATGATTTATTAAATATCACTAAGTTGTTAAATCTATCATTAATTAAATTAAATTTTATAAGGTAAATATTTTCTAATTACTGGCTTAATATTTTTATATTTGTAAAGAGTTAACGTCAATTTAATTATACATAGTATTAACAATAAGTAAATGGCACACAAAAGAAATATATATTATAAGTTAAAATGCTCAAGTTATATAAAACACAATTATAGTTTGTCGTGGGATTTATAATCAACAGTTGTATGGAATTCCACAACACCCATTGTCAGCTTGAACAAAAAAAAAGTAAAATAAAAAAAATATAAATTAATAAAAATGTGTGCGGTGTCATTTATTCTACATGTATAAAAATATTTTTCCTAACGGTCAAGTACCATAACGGTTAGTTAAGTTAATATTGTATTAAATTTATAAATTTCGTTTATGTCAGGATTAAAATTTAACGGTTTCCAACGATTTCGTGAGAACAATACTCAACGAAATCACGACTCTATTTGCCAAAGTGTTAATCAAATGGTTTCTACTAAGAGCGTGTCGGATTTCGATATTATAACTAAATAAAGGCTAAGAGAGAGAGAAAAAAAAAAAAAAATTACTGAGGACTGAATTCCTGGTAATTACATCGTGGGAGTTATTATGTATGTTTTAAAAACGCTACCTAACAAATGTATAACGCAATACCTATCTTATCATATCCTTAATAGTATAGGCCGCTCAGGTCGTACACTGTATTCGCTGTTTCTGCCATACTAGAAAACTAACAATTTATATAACTGTGCGCAATAGTATTATTGAAAAGATTCCTAAAAAAAAAAAAAATTATGTATATCTATACTCTTCAAATGAAAAATAAGTTAAATAAAAATAATTAAAATGTTTTCCTTTTTCTTATACTTAATGCCTATTAGAATATCTATAAAAAGACGGGGAAAACAAGGGAATTGGAGTTTGGACACAACTTTCCCTTCCTGGATTATAGGCTACATTCCCTGTGTTATAATTCTCATTAGATACATATGGAACTCTAGTAAAATAGGGCTTTTGACTGTTAAAACTACTACAAGTAGACCTATTATTATTGTTACTGGCATAATTAAAGTTAATATTTCTGGTACCGTTATAGCAATTTTGGGTTGTCTTATAATTCCTATTGAATACATCTCTAACCTTATTATTATTTATTCCCTTAGGATATCTATTGTATTTATTATAATTAAAGTTACCCAAATTAATATTCTTATTAGTAATACTATTATTATTAATATTATTATTAGACCTACGAGCACTATGCATAAAGTTGTTAAAACTCGTACCGTGATTTATCCTAGTATTCTGATAATTATTTTGGTTTGTCCTTTGAGTCTTATAGTTAAAGTTATCTACATGTCTTTTAAAGTTGAAACACCTAGTATCATAATTATTTTGGCTACCCCTATTACTCATATTATTGTGAGTCCTATACATATTATCGTTATTATTTCCAATTGTGTTTATACTAAATCTATTATGTTTATTTTTCAAAAAATTAATAACCATTTCTTCGTCATTTATTCTAAGAGATAACTGAGATTTACGTAAATTTATTATACCTCCATAGATTGTTAAAAAATCCATGCCTAAAAGACTATTACCTTTTAAATTTTTTACCACTGCACATTCTATTTCAAACGGCACATTGTTAAAATACACTATAATATTTGTTTTTCCTACAAAATGTAGTTGCGAACCATTCGCAGTATATAATTTTGTTTGCCCAAATGAATTAATATATTGATTTTTTGGAAGTAAAGATTCATTAATAACGCTTACACTTGCTCCTGAGTCAATAGTGAACTTATAACCAACATTATTTAAAATACCTCTAATTACTAGGTTATTACTTAGACCATTTTTGTTATTCATAAAACAGCTACTTATATTTTCTACTAACGGGGGTGGTCTTTGACTATTATCATTAGACCATGCATTATAATTATTACCATTATATCTGTTGTTATTGTTGTAGTTCCTATTTCTGGAATTGTTATCGCTAGCCCTATTATAATTGTTATAATTGCGGTCCCTAGTATTGTTACTATTATTATTAGGATTGCCCCTAAAGTTACCAGTATTATTAGAATTGCCTCTAAAATTATCATTATTTCTAAATGGCCTGTTATTTATGCTTGCTTTGACCCTCTCAAGCTCTTCCTTCAACTGTCTTACCTCATCGCTGCTGTTGCTTTCTCTGCTGACCCTGAGTTTCTCCATTTCCCTTTTTAAAAACTCAATCTCCTTTGCTGGGTTTTTTCGGATCGCATTAGCCACTTCATACGCCTTTACATTCTTCGTTATCTTATCTACTGACGAATTATCCAGTGAATATATTTTCCAGTAGACATCCTCTGGTAGACCTTTCAATATCAGTTTTGTTATCACCTCTTCAGTCATTTTATCGCTCACTTGACTGCATTCGGTAACCACATTCAGAATGTATTCCTGTAAGCTCTCTTCCTCCTGTTTCTCTCTCTTATTTAAATTTTCTCTCAACAGTATTTGTTGCTCTTCTGAGTTGTAGTATTCTAAAAATTCCTTTTTCAAATCCGCCCATTTCAAATCTGCAGTTTTGGCCTCGATTCTCTTATACAATTTTTTTGCTTGTTCTCTCAAATACAGCGGAAACATTATTAGTCGTTGCGCCTCGCTCCAACCATTCGCGGCTGATATCCTATCATAAGTTTCCATGTAATCATTAACATCTTCAGTTATATGCCCCGAAAATATTTGGGGTTCGCATATGTTATGACCAGCCATAATGATTAATTTTCTTGTATTAAAAAATAATTACAATCGATTTTTATATTTGAATTTAGAATTTAAATGCAATTTGATACTTTATAAAAAAAGAATGTACTTTACTACAACCTGAGAGTTAAATCAAAAAATAGCAGGTACAATTATATGGGGTCGTGTCCGTCGTCTATTCCCTTAAAAATGTTAGGGTCCCTCCCTGAGGTAAGACTAACGAAAATCGGCGCCTCCACCAAATTGTAACGTGTCTGCTTGGCTAGTTGGCTAGGCTAGGCCGAAACGACAGTCGATAGGGTTAAATTAGTGGACCCGAAGACGGGACGGATGGCTAGGCCGTATCTACACTTAAATATCCCTAAAGTCTCCTTTGTATATTTGCTATATCGCCTGAGGAGCTTAACAGGCGATCGTACCTCTAAATAACTTAACTCTCAAGTGTGCAACGAAACGAAAACAGGTTTATTAAATAAGTAAAGCTATGTACATATATATTACACCTCTACCTGGATCCTAAAGCGTTCTCTGTAGTTAGTCCAGGTAATGGCGGAGTTGAACGGACACACGAGTACGGGTAAAGTTAAAAGAAATATAAAATAGTAATGTAACGTGAAATAATAGGTAATAATAATGATAGGCTTTAGAATAATTAGGTCGCGGTCCGAAGATGGTAGTATGTCAACTAACTGGGCATCGGTGCCCCTGGCATTGTCCGTGTGTCTGTTGTCTCCCCTACCTATAATGGCTTACATGCTAATCGGGGTAAACTGCTAATAATGCATATTTGGAGGCGAGTGGTAACGGGCGGCTAAATGTGACCGTTACAATAGTATGTATAAGCTACACATGTTTTCTGTTTTTGTATTGTTTATTACAAAAGAAGAGCAACTTATGTTGAGCCAACTGTAAAATAACACGTATCAAATAATACGCATAGAATCTAGAAAACAATATTATTCGATAAAAATTGAATTGAGTATTTTTCAATCCTAACAAAATATTATATACCAACTACACGTTAGTGAAAATTGAGTGTAAAACCTATTGTGAAGTGCGTCGTCTCCTGTTCAAGTGAAAATACTAAACGTTTAATAAGATTGCACCATAAAGCTAACAAGCCGCTTTTATAGTAGAAATGAATTTGCGTCCAGTATGGCTGATCTTAACGATTGCGATGTTTCTGATTCAAAAAGTGTGTTTCTCGTTTATATGTAGACGTCAAATGTATGCTCATAATACTTCGTTCGTGCATTATGGTAAGTTGATGAAATTAGATACGGGATACTCTATCGCAGAAAAACCAAAATTGTCACAAGAGGAGGCTTACAAATACCCGGGAAAAGTTCGGCGCGCGATAGGCGAATTATACCATCAACTATTCTGTTGTTACATGTTAGACATACTTTCTTATATGGATTTACTATGGCAGCTTTTTTCAGAAAACGGTAAAAACGAGTTGGTTAAACTAATAAAACGCAAAGAGCACAAAGTTGTTTTTCTAAGCGATAATATCATAAATATGATGAATGTTCTGTATAATTTCGGTAGGTTGGACGATATAAGTCCGATATGGATGGTTTATATGTTTGTGAAATATTTAAGATCGATCAAGAAGCATAGAATACTAGGTAGACGGGAAAGTATTCTTAATGAACACCATACTGTTCATCAGCGACTTGCGCACATACTCAACAAGGGAAAATGCAAAACGCAGAATGAGGCTTATAATGCCCAATATGGCAATTCACAGTCTTACCATCTTTTTGAATCGCTCAGTTTGAATCGACCATATAATTTACTTCACCTAATAAATATCCTAGGAAAATCATTTGATAATAAATACCGAAAGGTTCAAAAACATATAGAAATAGACAGTACTTGTCGTTTTTACTTTAGTGCCGGTCACTTGCAATTGGTTTCTGTTTTGAATTTGACGAGACGTTTGCTTGTAGACATTGCAGATGTACCTGGATACAAAAGCATGTATTCTCGTATACGAGTTATTAGTAATAAACAACATTATGACTCGCTTCAGGATTTGATCAAAACCATGGCAAAATCACAAAGTCTGTTTATGAATTTAGTAAAATTCATATTGTTGAAGAACGTGTGGAATTACCTTACAATGTTTAATTTGTCTGTGCCTCTATCTGAAGACAAAGAAAAACCAGTCCAACTATCGCTGCCGTGGAACAATCAAGAGCATAAGGCGATAGCAATTCATATTGAAGCAATTATTGGTTTTTTTAACTTAAAAGACGATTTAATATTGATATTCCTCAAGTATCTGTTTACAATGCCAGTAAACTTCTTTACTAATGACCAGTTTAATAAAGTAGCAAAAGAACGCCTCTTCGGATATATGGATGACATTTATTCACAAGTATTCGGTTGTGAAACAAAACTTTCAAGGTCCTCCGAACTCATCACCACGCAATACATAGTAGATCTACATACGATTATTTACAAAACAGACGAAATTTATCGTATGATAAACTTAATGCCTTCCAATGATAATCTAAAAAGATACAGTATTTATAAAAGTAATTTGAGCATTTATATGTTTTATTACATGACGGCCCACCAATATTTTGAAAGGGAGAGTGAAATAGATTTTGATGTCATTCAGTCGTTTAACAATTTTTCAGATGATTTTTTGGGAAGAACAAGTTATTGAATTCTTACAAAAACTGTCGTTTTTTTTTTTTTTTGTGTAAGCAATGTTTGATATTGTATTGTATTAATTTTTAATTTTATTTTAAAACTTTATTATCCATAAATTCAACGCATCTTATGTTAATCGAATTAATTAAAATTAATCCACTTATTTGACTTTCAAATGTCGATATTTTCTTGCACTTTAGGTTCATACGAAAATATATAAACGATTATAGCATTTAAATAATTTCTTTTTCTAGTTATGGACGTATTTTAAATAACATACATTTCATAGTATTAATATTACTATATACAAATATTTACGCTCTTTAAGCGATTTTCCAGATATATTTCAGATAAAAGTAAGTAAACTCTGATTTAAACTGTCATTTAGCATCGCTTAATCTTGCAAAGTGTTAAAATGTTAAATTTTAAATTTATTTCAAAATGTAATTATTGTATAAATTCACTGTATTTTGTAGTTTTAATGTAACAACTAAAAGCATGTTAAATATGTGACTTTGAAGTATAACAACTATTATGCACTTTTAGTTTCAAACTATTTACCAATATCCTTTCTATATCTACCTATCTGCCATATATATTATGTATTCTACTGGAATATACCTACTGTCGAAAAAGTAGTCTGATGAACAGCAAGTTATTTATACCAAATTAACAAATACGCATAGTTAGGTTACAAGAGCAAATACAATTGGCAGTAGTCAAACTTTACGAACCAAAAAACCAATTAATATAATCATAGGCCTTAACTACATAGAAAGTTTGATGAATAAAGAAAAAAAACACATTTTCCAAATTAAAATAATGGAAGAGTTATGTTTCAACAAATTTAAAAACCAATTATGCAAAGAAGAATCTTTAATTAATATTAACATTAAACAACTATTATTAATGTTCATAGCTCTAAAGATATGCTAACAGAATGCATATACTTACAGATTACTACTAACACCTTATGTTAAGCCAGCTAAAAAAAAAACACGTAGGTATAACAAAATAGAATACAGAAAAAATATTATTCGAAAATATTGCTTTGAGCGTTCTCGTTAATCGACAAAATATTATGATTAACACTAATTTAAAACGAGTTCTATAATACATAATATTGATTTTAGGCCTTTAGGGTTAAGTGAAAATATAAAACACTAAACGTTTTTAGGAAAACTGTTTTTGAGATGTTTTCAAAATAGAATTTGATGTCATTCGGTTTTTTAACAATTACTCTGATGAATTTTTGGGAAATACAAGTACCTATATTCTGATATAAACTATCGTATATTTGTTTTGTTTATGTAAGCTACGTTTACTTCTTACTAGTATTTAATTCTAAATATATTCTAAAACCTTATTTTCCTCATCTTGAAGTTATTCGAAATAATTAAAACCAATCCACTTAACTGACTATAAAATGTCGGTATTATTATGCACTTATTGATTCTTACAAAAATATATAAATCATTACAAAATTTGGAATATTGTTTTTTAGATCCTTCAGAGTAATTTTGCGACATTTCAAAACAGTACGGCGCTGTAAGATGTTAGTCACATATGTTATTACACCTCCACATCTAAGCTAACAGTATGTACTATGTATACAATGTACGTTACACAAAGATTCCATATTATTAATGGCACACAATGAAAAAATAAAAAACTTAAGTCAACGGTAAAATAAAACGCACAACCAAAAGAACGTGTTGAATAAACGTTGTTCGAAAAACAATGGCTCGAGGTTTTTTGGAAAACAACGATATAATACACAACGTATTAAAAAAACTTTTTATAACGAATAAACCAATATTGTCAGTTGCATAAAAGCATAAAAGGGATACAAGGTTTTTTTTTTGCGAAATTTTACAATTTAATGGCTCAAAACTAGCCTGAAATAGATCTAACATACACCTATTATATGATGGCCAATTAAAAAAAAACCTGTTAAAATGTTTGTTATAAAGAAAAAACAAAAATTGACAGTTGCACAGAAGCATAAAAGGGATTTAACACTCGTGTATTGTAAAATATTTTCAAATATCTAGGTTTTATTAAACTTTGCGTACATAATAATATGTCTGAGCACATAGTTAAATTTACAAATAATACCATACACAATTTTACGACTCGTTGTTTATCGCATAAACAAGTGTTCATTTTGAGTATTTTGTTAAGTTGTTTGTGTGGGTACCTATTCAAATATTTGAACTATGTTCTTTCACGACCATAGAACACTGATACTTCAATAAATATAGCGAATAACTGTTTTCTCTATTAAAATACAGAATTATTTGTTATTAAGTATTGTTATTGGTTTTTATAAAACAAAATTT